CAGCTTATTCTGGCCCAGAATTGTCCACTTAGAGATGTCTGGCTGACTTAAAAATAAAGCGACCAGTGTACTTTTTTGTTATTACGAGCTGTTTAGAAGCAAGTTTTTTCTGAAATAATCAGCCTAGGCTCATTTGATATTTCTTATGACATTATGTTGCTTCTTGCATGTTTATTGGCACTTTTAGAGCAAAATGTCCAGTGAGTGGCACTAAAAGAGCATTCAACTTTCTCCAAATCAGATGAACATGAATATGGAAACATTTTATTGTTGGCTTTTGTAGGTGTCACATTCACACCTACACTAAACCCTACCCTGAATCTAACCAGTAGTGTTAACAAAAGCAAATGTGACACAAACAAAGCAACCACGCCCCTTTAACTTGCTACTACAAGTCTTTGAGCTCTTTCAATGTGACTTGCATTTCATGGGACTCATGCACGTGCACTCCATATCGCAAGTGCAATGCAATACCAGGTGAGCTACTGAGCAAGCTTACCACATTATAAAAGCCTCACATATGGAACTGGTTATGTGATACAAAATTTTAAAATGCTTTAGTTAAAAGCATTATGAGGTCATAACATACAGTAGTATTGTACAAAGAACTGTGCAAAAATAAGTGTCATTAATGGATAATCTGCCTCTGTAATCATGATTTGTGTGAAAAGGAATAAGTTATTGATGTTTTATTGGCACTAGTGTTTATTTCAGCTGGAAACTGCACTGAATTGTCTGTATGTTCAATGTAGGTATGTTTTTGGAGTTCCGCAAGAAGCTAATGTTGGAAATAACTGATACCACAATATTGGACTGTCTGGTAAAGCACTCATTCAAATACTTGCACTGCAGTGTCAGTTCATGTCCATCTCTGCAACTGACAGAAGAAATGTGTGTAGGATTTTTAAAGTATAATTGTGTGTGTGGGGGGGGGCATTCCTTGCATTCTTGGGTTTTTTGTCTTGAAAAGTAATGCAATTGTATTATCCAACTGTAATTAGTTATTATATACACTGATTGTGCTATCTAGTAAGTCACCTTGCTGATGATCCTGGAATTTCAGACAAATAAATGTTGTTTTACTGTGTAAAAAAACAAACAACAAAAACATACAATATGCATCAAATACTTATTTATATACATAAATATACATTACTGTATAGACAAGGTAAAGCAATGCAGATGCTGTGAGAAAAACAAATAAAACTTAACAGTCACTACAGCAATAGTTCTGTCTTCTGCCATGTTTGAAGCCTGTGGCCCACCCAACTTGAAAACTTGGGTATCAAAATTATCCCAGAGATTCCCAGTCATAAATGCAACTTGAGTGGCCATTCACAAAATATATGATTTGACGATATATTGCACTGATAATTAAGTAGGCATGAAGGTTGAACCTGATCAATTACACAACAGCCAGCAGCATAAGAGTAAACAGCCAAGAGAAAAATATGTAACATATGGAGAGACTTTAAACAGTATATGATACGAGTACTCTGCATGCTCTGAACAGCATGGTAGTGATGACATCATAAAAAAATCCTGTCATCGCACTGTTGATTTCCAGAAAAAAAGAGATGCTTTTCAAAGTGAAAAAAAAAAACAGTTTAATATCACAGCATATATTGATCAAATGGAAACATTTCCTAAATTTAACACCACTGTTTCTCTGCCTAGTCAAGTCAAGTCAAGTCAAGTCACCTTTATTTATATAGCGCTTTTAACAATACAGATTGTGTCAAAGCAACTGAACAGCATTAATTAGGAAAATAGTGTCAATAATGCAAAATGACAATAGTAAACACTCATTTTTCAGTTAAAGACAGTTCATCATTGAATTCAGTGATGTCATCATCCAGCTCAGTTCAGTTTAAATAGTATCTTTGCAATCATTTGCAATCAAGTCAACGATATCGCTGGAAATGAAGTGTCCCCAACTAAGCAAGCCAGAGGCGACAGCGGCAAGGAACCAAA